AAGTATTCAGTGTTCGATTTCTGTCGGCTGATAGGGGAGAATACCTACCATAAGTGAAGGACATTTTTTTTTCTTTTAAATAAGAACACGTTCAAAAATGTTTTTCATAGGTGGAAATAGGTTCGCTTATCGTCCGGTTTACACACCTCCCCGGGCTTTTGAATAGGAATTGTTTCCTGTATAGGATTGGGTTTTCAGTTCCTTCTAATGTCTTTTTATTCTCTTTCACTCACATTAGCCCCAACTTGCGTCTTATTGGCTTTAGCGCCTTCCTTGGAGTGACTTAATAAAAAAAAATAATACATGAAAGTTAATCAATTATATCGATTTTAGAAATGTAGAAAATGATTGATGATTTCGAAAATCTTCATTCAGAAACTTTCAATTGTAATAATTCAAAATGAAATCATAATGAATTTTATTTTTTTCTGCGCATACACCTTTCATCAAAGTAGAAGTTATAGACACTTAAAGTCTTCTTATAAGAAGTGATATTCCTTTTAATGAAGAATTAATTGCGACATATAGCTCCTTATATTAGTGTTAGTAAGCTGTAACCTGATATCCGAAAAAAGTGGCGAAAATGAGATAAAGTGGAATAGCTATTCTGACTACGCGTTACGCCTTTTTATATTCGGCGTTTTCAGGCGGTAATGAGAGAAAAACCCGCGTGTAGTGAAAGTACTTTGGAATATGAGGAAGATGGAATAAATATCAGATTCTATGTCCAGAAAGCATTTTTCTATTTTCTTCCCGTATTGAGGCCGTTACGGTTTCCTGTATATGAAATTAACATTTTTTCCTCTTTTAGTTCGTATACCGCTTTGTGCTACTAATATTTCTGCGATGGTCATATTATGCATGAACCCGGTCAGAGGTTGACAGTAGCCAAATGTGAGATCAGTGAATTTTCAAAACATTTTCTTCTTTGTTAATTATTTTATCTTCTCTTTTTTTTTTGTGGGGGTGGCGCTTGGCGCTAATAACCCAATCCCGGCGAAAAAAAAAAAAAAACTTAGTTGCAATAGAAACCGCAACAGCATCGTCTACAAGTGCTGAGTTAAGATTGTACGGGGCATGAGAAATAGAGATGTCTATTTACTTTAGAAGCACTTTCATTATGTCTGGAGTCGTGTCGGAAGATGGCTCCTTTCTTTTAAAATTATTTTCCTTGTTTCTTTTTTTTTTTTTCTACACCGAATGTATGTAAGATACTCTGCCCTTCGCCTTTTTATAGTAGGCGTCTTCAGACGGAAACTATGAGTAAGGAAAACACATTGGAACATCGAAAAAACTTATCCTTGATCTAAAATTTATCGACACCATTTCTAAAAGAATAAAAGATAGATTCAGCATCAGAAGAAATAGCAAAAACAATAAAATATACACAATTACACAAATTGTCTAATGATGAAACTCCAGAAAGCTCAAAAAAATTATTATATGAGCCCCGGGGAGGTCTGTTGCATGACAAAACATTAAACACATGAATAGTTGACCGTAACACATCTGACCACAATCACGAACTAATACCAATCCGAAGAGTCGTGTCTAAACTACAATTTAACACATTGTTGGTGGATGGATTCGTAATTTTTCCGCATCTGTGCAACCCAAAATAATTCATATATATATATATATATATATATATATATATATATATATATATATATATATGATGTGGGTGCAAATTTGGGACCACAGAAGGAAAACACGGAACACGGATTAGATGTAAGAAAGATATATTAACAACAGGTTACAGAGATAGTGTAAGCGGAGCTTACTATATGTTAGTGTCCAATACTGGTAGTCGTACGCGGCTCTCTGTATCACTCTCTGTCACTCTCTAGAGTGCTATGTCGCCTACTTAATATAGGCCTGGAAGAGTCTATTGTGTAGGTAGTTTCCGGTCTCACAATAATATATATATATATATATATATATATATATATATATATATTGTCCTCGACAAAATCCAGAGACGGATATGCAATGTGAGTAGTCCTAATCTGGCATCTCTTCTACAGTCACTTTCTCACAAACATGCCTTAGCTTCCCTCTGTCTATTCTACAAATACTTTCAGGGTAACTACTGCGACGATCTACTTTCGCTGGTTCCCAAGCTGCATTAATTTAAGCGTTCTACTAGGTTAGCATCTCAGTCCAACATTTTCACTGTCAAAACTGTTAAATGTAGCCGTCTCTTTTACTCAAACAGCTTCTTTTACTCAAACAGCTTCTCGCACTTCCCGCCTGTGGAATTCTCTTCCGCTTACTTGCTTCCCTGATAGCTATACTTTTCAAATATCCAAATGCAATGTCAATCGACACCTTCACATACCTTCATCCAATTCCCTGTCCTTCTCTTTATCCTTTCCTCTATTACGCCTCTGTATTCTTGCTCTCACTCTCTGTAAGCCCTTGCGTGCCAGTGGCACTCCCGCTTGGGTTGAAATGCTCATATATATATATATATATATATATATATATATATATATATATATATATATAAAAGGTGCGATGTGTAAATTGTCACCGTTTTACGTGTTATTTTTTTTGATTTCGTCAACTGTACAGTATAATTCGATCAGTTGAGCACGGTCCTATGAAAATACGTGCACCATGACGCAAATCACTTCGCCAGAAATTTAGAAACGGCATACTGTAATGCTTGACATTCGTGTCGGAATCTGCGATACGAACATTTCAGAGTGTTTGGGTGCTAGTCTTCGGATAGTACGGGGGATTCTGAAAGAGTTGGATAAGTCTAATGGTGATTAAGACGGTGTTAGGATTGATCACTAATGATGGCGACGTTATGCTTCCATTCATCTTCCCAGAGGGTCTCAGACTCAACGTGTAGGCTACATCAAGTAGCCTGAGAGGTAGTGATGCCCTGGGTCAAGAGGGTAGCTGCTGCAAAACCCTATATCTGACAACGGGACTCTGCACCATGCCACACAATCAGGAGAACCTAGACATGGCTATCAGACAATTTCTGTGACCACATTTCTAAAACTGATTTAGGGTATTATTTTCACATTTCACAACCAAGAATCGCGTTAAGATGCAACCAGTTCCATGATAAAATAACGCCTTAGAATTCTTTGCAGGCGCTCGTAAATTTAGCAACCCAAAAAGCAACAGATATATGAAATGCTAAGAATTATTTGGATAGAAGTTTTGAGCGGGAAGGAAGTATTCTGGAAAGAAAAGAACAATAAGGAAACATTTACTTGCAATCAGGATGCGACAAATGAAATTTTGGGGATTCCTAATGAGAAAAGACGATCAAGAGAATTTAACACGCACAAGGCGAAGCAAGGGCAATTGCGAGTGACATAACAAGTTGGCATGAATAGATGGAAAACCAGAACAAACAGATTCTCTCTCTCATTCTCTCTCTGTCACTCTCATTCTCTCTCTCACTCTCATTCTTTTGAGGACACATGTCATAGTGGACAAAGGAGTTGCTTAGATCCACTGACAGGACGCAAAGAGTGTGAGTTCAAATCCTGATTAAGGCAGTGGAGAACTTGGAGAGTGGAATTAACAGGAGATAACAGATAACTGGCATCCATTAGACATGGCACGTGGAACTAGAACAGTTTACCCCAGCGAGCGAAATTAAGGGTTCAGTTCGTCATTCCAACCGCCTGAAGAAGACCGGAGCGTACAACGGCCGAAACGTTGGGATAAATATGGCAACAAAGATGAAGATGATAGTCCGAACAATGTAAATAGTGTACATAATACCTCATCTCAGAAATATAGACAAATAGAAAACAACTCCACTATCTTTCCCAAAGAGTAATTGCAATTCATAGAAAGAAAGAAATCTGTAGATAACAAAAGGAAGGAATATGTGGAGATATAATCGCCTATATCTTGAAGGTACATGGCATTTAAAAAAAACAAAAATCATTACTACTGCAACTGCCAGTCCAGTCTAGATGCGTCTATTTACACCTTTATATAAAATTATGCAGTTAGTAGATTTAGTGTGAAGCAATTGTTTGTTAGCTTTTGTCACATAAAATTATTATTGTAGTAATTAAGACATAATTGTTTACGCTACCTTTGCGGCCTTGTGACAGACTTTACTGCAATTATTAAATATTAGACTCTTAGCCATGGAGCAATGCATAACTAATTTTGCAGACCTTTTGTTAATTCATACCAGGTGCGTCACTATCTCTGTACTTGAATGAACGAGAGTTAGTGCATAGTGATTTTCCAAGCGTAGCTTAGATGTAGCACAAGATCGAAAGTAGGGGGCATCCAGTGAGGATCGAACTCACTACTCAGTCGTAATTGTTTTAACGAGACAAGCTTGCTAACCATTACACCGCCTCGAGATGCCCAACTAAGGTTAGTGTATAGCAGATGTTTCGTTGTGGAGAAATGATAATGAGTCATTTTTTTTCAGTGATATTCAAATGAGCTCCATTTGTTCAGATATTTACAGTTAAGATCAGCCAGTTCACGAACATAGGATCAAATCATACTAATTCCCTCCATATTCCATTGTTAAGAAAGAAGTTCCCTTCAGACAGCTTTTTCCTAAGAACTGCTACGTGGAATAGAAACCTCAAATTATCCTTCCCTATTCTTATTCTCTGCGAGTCTAAAGCTAGCTATGATCTATAGACAACAGTCTGATTTATTAACCATCTGCCTTGAGTGGCTTTTGGGCATTTTCTTGAGTGAACAGCAGTAAAAAAAGAATTCGATCTTGCGTTGTCACTCCAATGTTTCACCTTGTGCCAGACTAATTCACTGTGAATAACTATACATCTACGTGTGTGTACCTTTATATTCACACCCGCACATACCACTATCAGGGTATTTACGCGTCAACTAATTTTTTTTCCTGTCTTTCGTCTTCCAGGACGCTGGTTTGTTTTAACTTTATTAGATGTTTTGACTGCGAAAGGCTATCATGCTCTACAACCAGATGATACTCCATTACAACCTTTGGCTTCGGAACCCCATTGAAAATGCATTGGAACAAGACAATTCCTCTTCGTTTTCAGCAGGTCATTACTCTTTCCAGAGGTCAGCCATGTTACTCTGCTGAGGCAGAAAGCCCAAATCCCAAGCCTAAATTCTCTGCCAGCCTCGATTTCGTCACCACTGTGTCACAATTCATGTTAGATCTTCTTTTGAAAAAGAAACACGTATTTTTTTTGCTTTTTCAATTTTGTTTTTAATTTTATTTTTTATTGCTTCACGTTACCAGGTTATTTTTCTTCTGCTTTTTACATTCAGTTCATTCTTTCCTTCTTTATTTATTCTTTTCGATTATTTTCGCTGCCTTTCAACTTTTGCTAATTTTTATCTTTATTTTTCTTCTTTTGATTTACTGTTCTTTCTTTCTTTCTTGATTTCTCTTCATTTCATCTTTTGTTCCATTTTTCTTTGCCTTTTTTCATGTCTTGCTTCACTGCCTGCCTTTCTTTCTTCTTTTAGCTGCATTTATCTTTTGTTCTTTTTCTCTTCAATTTATTCTCATATTTTCCCTTTCTTTTTCTTTATTTCATCTTTTGTTCTATTTCGCTTTACCTTTTTCCTCATATTCTGCTTTACTTTCTCTCTGTCTGTCTTCCTTCCTTCCTTCCTTCCTTTTTTGTCTGTCTGCCTATCTGTCTGTTTCTTTCTCCTTTCATCTGATTTTTATCTGCATTTTTGTTTTATTTCTCTTTAACTTACGTCTAGTTCACCCCTTTTCTTTTTTCTTTCTTTCTTTCTTTCTTTCTTTTATCTCTGATATTTACTGAGTCATTCCTCATAACTCTTCATTTAGATATTTGTATAATTTCCTTTTCTTTATGTGCTGCTTTAATATCTCAGTTTTATTCTTTACACATTTCCTCTTTCTGTCGTGTTTTACTAAATTTGCCTCGTCTAGAACAAGGCAACAAGTTTCGACATTCATTGAGAATAAAAATTTTGCATTAATTCTCATTCTATATTGAAGTATGTTTTGTCGATATTTCATAAGATTACTTTAGTCAGCTAAAAGGCCACATAATCTCCTAAGACAATTTGTTAACTATTACGTCACAACGCCTTGCTCTTTCGTTGTTCGACTCTTTCCATTTTCTAGACGTCACCTATTTACTCTTTTCTCCTCGATCTACAATATGTCTCCTCTCTTCGAAATTTGAAGTAAAAGAAGGATCAGGCAAAGAGAATAAAATGAAGGTTGTTAAAAAAAAAAAAAAAAAAAAAAAACCACCAATAGAATTTCAAAAATGAAAATGGGAATAAGAGAAAAAAGAAAAAGGAATAAAATCTTTGTCCAAAAAATGCAAGAGAAATATGAGAGAATATCAAAATAAATAATCGATTGAAACTAATTATATAACGATCTGCTCTCAACGGTCAGGATTTTTCCTCCAAAATTTTCGCTTCATTCAATGCTTCTCCTGATCACTCCTCTTAACTGTTTTTTTTCTATCCCCATCCCTGACGACTCATCTTTTATTATCTTTTCATGTTCCCTATCGTATTATACACTCTGAAAATAACAACAGCTGCACGAATAAAAAGTTTGGCCGATTCAATGACTGCAGGCCTTCCATTTTTAAAACGGTTTGTTCTTTTAAGTAAACGCCAACAGTGACGCAGAAACAAATTCGTCGCCATTACTGTTATCGTGACTGCATGTCCGTTTGAAGATGTCTTTACGCAAGGAAAAGCTATTCGTTCAATGTTGACACTAGAAAGCTCAAACAGATGCTTAGTGTAAAGCCAAATAACAAAGATAAACTGAATAGGAATCAAATTGCATAGGACGTCACTTATGAGAAAATTATTTCCTCTTTTCGAAGTTATCGCCATTAAATTGTTCGCAATGTAATGTCGCGTTTTGGAAGACAGCATAAAAATTCGATCACATGTAACGAATACTGTATCCATTTGCCAAAAATGTAATCAACATTATTAACTATGGCAAAAGATCAGAATGGAGGTAATTATTTTATAACTTGCTGAAAGAATATTATCGTTATCAAGCAGCAACTTGATGTGAATCCCAATAACAACGTTTGACCTCGAATACTCATCGAAGATATCTCTGAATAATGCAATTAAACTTCCTGTTTAGCGGATTATTTGTTTTTTATTCTGTATAAAGAAATTAACTATGTTATTCCATCAATAGAATAGTCTAAATTTCTATACAAGCCTTGATTTTAAGTAGTTTCTACATGTATTTTCTGTAACTTACATTTTTAATTAATTTTTTTTCCTTTTTTCTTCCTTTTTTAATTTATTTATATCAGTTCTAATTTCTCATTTTGATGGTCAGTCTCTTTCTTTCTTTTTCTCTTTCTGTTTCTCTTTCTTTTTCTCTTTCTTTCTTTTTCTCTTTCTTTCTTTTCTCTTTCTTTTTCTTCTTTCTTTTTATTCTTTCTTTCTTTTTCTCTTTCTTTTTCTCTTTCTTTCTTTTTCTCTTTCTTTTTCTCGTTCTTTCTTTTTCTTCTTTCTTTCTTTTTTCTTCCTTTCTTTTTCTCTTTCTTTCTTTTTCTTCTTTATTTTTCTCTCTCTTTTTTTCTTTTTATTGTAACTTTCTTTCTTTCTATTTCCCCATTGTTATTCTCTCTACTTTTCTTTCTCTTTTTACATTACCGTCTTTCTTTCTTTAAATAAGGCTGCCAGCATTATTATCAGCGTTAAACGCTTAGTATAAAATTACTATTTTCTTCAATGTTGAAAAAATTTGAGATATTCTGTTTTTACCGAGTTCATGAATTGTATTTTTAAAGCGACATTCGTTCCTTTTACTTAAAAAGAAATTTTTAATTAATAAGAAATATTCAATATTCTATTTTATTTTTTCACTTCTCTGTACGGAATTTTTCAATTTTTACTCAGCGAACTGCTAGAATGGAGATATCTAATGACAGTTCCTTGTTTCCAAAAAATGTTCTCTTCGATTACAATGGATGCTTCGTCTTAGTTGCAAAGTCCTATAAAATCTTACTTTAGTCTGTGCTTTAGGAGAGCTTCTGAATTTATGCTCTTAGTCTACATGGTAAAATCCAAGACATTCAACAGGATGGCATTGTTGATTCCTCGGAGCCAATGTAAATCCTGTAAGTTCCATGAATCTAGTGTTTCCTTGGATTAGTTTTCCCGTAAGGTCGATTTTTGCATCATATTACATCAAGTTGTAGGCGATCAGTGCTCTGTACACATTTCGTTTATTTATTCTCTGTGAATTACCATGAATTTTGGGGAAGATAGTTAAGTAATTTTCCATTGCCTTTCAATTCTGAATCGTCCTTTTCAACTAACTGTCACCTGCTATTGAGCAGGATTTTCCGACCAGTAGTTTGCCATTCTGGCTCAGACTTTGCATTTTGGAACATTCACACTCCTTCCAGTAAGGAACACGTAATAGCCATAGAAAGAAACAAGCAGTTAAAATCGAGCTATAAGATTATTCAATTTCTGAAAGTGAATTCTTGGTTTACGTTTTCCTCATTTGAAGACAAAGTACGGAGTGACACTGAGACGGAAATAAAAATTAAGACGGACAAACATTGGTCCGTGTGAAGATTTGATTATTTTAACCATAAAATCACCTGTCACCTGAGTGTGTTTAAACATACGACCGCATAGAGCTTTTTAAAATTCTTAAATAAATGTTCCCGTAAATGAAATGTGCTGTAGAAATTTCGTCAGCTTCTTTTTCTTGTATGTGTCGTATCCATTCAGGACGTGTCCCAATATGGCGTTCAATATCTTTCTATCCTTGAATTTTTGGAAAGATAAAGAAGTAGTTTTTCATTGCCTTTCAATTCGGATTTGTCCTTCTCAACTAGCTGTATCCTGCTGTTGAACGCATGGCCGGGGTGGAGAACGGCCGGACACGTGACATTATAAAAGCATTTATGTGAAAGTGAACACAACAGTCTAAACCGAGATTTGAACTCAATTCGCTGATTCCACTGTCATCTCCGATAACCACACATTCGTTACATTGTTCAGTTTCACTTACAGAAAAATGGTGTAGGCAAAGATACAAATCGTTAGTAATTCGTTACTATCAGTGGATTAAATCCACCGATAGTAACGAATACACACTTTTCATAGAACTTGATTCCAGTTATGTTTTGGTAATCAATCCACTTCCAAGCAAGGCGATACGTCCACTAAGACGCAAGAGGTTTACTGAGTGTGTTGTATTCCAAAAGCTAAGCATATTATTAAGAAACAGGAACATTTTGTTAGAAAAAAAAGAAAGTAATGGTTAAGAAATAACAAAACAAGAGGTTGCAGAAAAATAGTGTATTGAACAGTAAATACAACAGAACTTGCGAGTGTGTGTCTGTTGACCAGCGTTCAGTCTATCACTATTCCCCCAAGGCTTACTTTTCCTACTAACTTTATAGTAAGTGGAAGAGTCCACAATAACCTCATTAGAGGGAAGACATCACGATAGATAGATAGATAGATAAATACTTGAACGGAATGAGATAGGTAGATAGATAAATACTTGAATGGAATGAGATAGATAGATAGATAGATAGATAGATAGATACTTGAACAGAATGAAATAGATAGATATTTCTGTGACCAAGTAATTGGTTAAGGAATAACAAAACAAGAGGTTGCAGATAAATAGTGTATTGAACAGTAAATACAACGGAAGTGTGTTACACAACTTGGGAGTGTGTGTCGTTCAGTCTATATCACTGTTGATATTTAACACCACTCACGAGAGATATATGTGGCATAAGGCCGAGTCTAACGTGGATCACCCGAGCCTGTAGGCTCGGCCAAAAAATACCCGTAGAACCCGCATAAACGGTTTCGGGTCTGTCTACCTCCCTGGACGAAACTCTGTCCTTCGGCACAGCCTCATCCGGGTTCTTCTCTGCCTTGGGCAGAGAGTTCGTCAGGAGTTCGTCACAGTCTCGATAGAACAGTCTATCACTATCCCCTTCCCCCCACCCGAGGCTTACTTTCCTACTACTTTATAGTAAGTGGAAGAGTTAGCCTCATTAGAGGAAAGACACCACAACAAAAGTAATGATATTATGAAGGCTATTGCCAAAAATTAGGAACAAATCAAGTTCGAGGATAAGGTCCGGGTGGACACCTGTATTTATGGCCGAGAAGAATGACCGTCCAAACAAAACATTGTACAAAGTATTTTTCTGTAAAGCTCTTCTATTCTGTATTTACTTGACTCTACATAATCTTTGTCTGGTTTCTCTTTGACGTTCTCTTCAGTTTAAATCTGCTAACAGCCATCGCAATATTGATTTTCTTAGAGGGACACTTCTGCTAACCAGACCAAACTATGTTATAATTGACGACAACAAATCTCACGCCTGCAACATTGGTAGCGTCCTAACGGTCACATGACCAACAGATAAGACTGATCATTTTCCCTTGCTGTCTCGGGGAGGATTTCTTTCTTGATTTTTTTACCTCGCCAACAGGTGCACGATAAATATTAATTTAAAATTGAGAGATCTTGCAAACACTTCTCTTTTTGCCTGTGTTACCCGTTTGATGAGATAATGCAAACTAAGGTGGCCACCGTTGTTTGCATTTCTACTGCAGGATAAACAATTTTCACAAAACAGATTTCTATAAGCCTTGATTCATTGCTAAATCAAAAACGTGAAGTGGTATCAAATATCCATAACATTATAACAACTTTATATATATATATATATGTGTGTGTGTGTGTGTGTATGTATTTAAGTAACGAAAATCTTGGTAATCCGTATGGATAATCCCAAGGAGGATGAAATCCGCAGAGCTCAATGTTAAGTCAGAGCGAATAATTTAATTTAAAGAAAAAACTGACCACTTTAAGGTTATATTAGTTATAATTTATTTCACCAGAGATTTTATTTTTCTCTGGATCTTCAGACTTCACTTTCAACGGTGAAAATCGAATTGAAAATTTACAATTATATATATATATATATATATATATATATATATATATATATATATATATATATATATATGACTAAATAAGTTACAATTTATATCCGCTTACTTTTTAGCATAATCCTTTCATAATAACGGATATTTTTCCTTGCATTACAATAAAATGATGCAAGAAATACACTGTAACTGTGAAAATTACTTTTATTTCCCAAGTACTTTCCATCACTTTCTGTACTTGGGAAATTAAAGGGATTTTTACTGTTATAGTGCATTTCTTGCATCATTTGATTGTAATACACAAAAAAAATATCCGTGAATATGAACGGATTATAGTAAAATTAAGCAGGCATAATGTTCGTAATTTATTTAATCAGACATGCCTAATTCTATTTTTGTGTTGAAAGATTCGTTTTTATGTGCTTGCATTGTATGGTAATTTTTAGTGTTGTTTCTTTATGCATAAATTTGTGCCCTTGACTCGTTTATATTCTATATTATATTTTGTTTTAACTGTTAATTTTTATTTTTAATCAATTCACCCTAAGTAAGGGAATAGCATCACTAAGACGCAAGAAGTGGAAGAAGAAGGAGAAAACATTAGAAGAAACTTGAAACTGAATAATAGTATAAATTTCAGAATTTAGGCGGAGTCGTTCGAAGCAGAGGGTTGAAGAGAAATTTAAAAGAAACCGAAAATTCAATTCTAAGAAGGAAACTCATTCATTTCCGTCTATAAAAAATGGCGAATGCCTCGTCTGAATGGCTTTTCTACTCTGTCTCCACATTTGTTCGAATATTATTTTACATGCTACTAACACAGATAAACGGCTCTATATTTTGTATTCAATTCATTAAATATCATAGCTCTTCATATAATAATTGTTTAAATGCTTATAACTACGACATGATAAAGGTGTATAGAAAAAACACATATAATTCAGTATCATTGAATTGAACGTATAATTCATATAATTCATTATCATTAAAATTGAACGTTTTTAAACGTTTCTCAATAACCAATAATTTTGTACATTTCTAAAATCGAAATGGTTCACCGACATTCAGGCATTATTTATTTATTTTTAATCAATTCATCTCAAGAGAGGTGACAATGACACTAGGACACAAGGCGCTACAGAGAGTGAAAGAGACTGAAAAAGACGTCAGAAAGAATCGGAAACCCAATCCTAAAACGGAAACAAGGGTTAAAACTCTACTCCTGTTTAAAAGACCGTAAGTGATTTTCAACATATGCTAAAATCATCAGTCTGTCCTACTCCCACTCTCTCTCTATATCACCTTACATCAACTAAAAACTACCCCTCAAAAGTGTAAGAAATATATGTAAATTTAAAACATTTTTTCACCCTTGGAAGTGCGGTCTTATGAACCAGGTAAAAACAATATACCTGGGGAAATAAATTGTAACTAATGAACGCTTAAGGTTGTCTGTTTTCTATTTAAATTGAATGAATATATCTATCTATCTATCTATGAATCTATCTATCTATCTTTCTATCTATCTATCTATCTATATATATATATATATATATATATATATATATATACTATATGTGTGTGTGTGCATCCGATGCGATGAGAACGAAAGTAATATATAAATTCCAACTTTCACAACATTAATGCAAAAGA